TGAATTAAGTTCGTAACCCGAGGTACCACTGTATTTTGAGTTTCTTTCTCATTCATCCTTCAGTCTCTAGACTGCACGGTCTTCAATTCATCTCAAAATTCCTTTCTACTGACATTTCAGTTTCCTGCCCTCATCCCTGTAATGTGCCCCTTCTGAGAATATTAGGGAGTGAAATGGGAAAAAATACACACGCGCACCCACAAAGGGGTGCTCAAGATTAAGACAAGTCATCGTCCTGCTTGCTGTTAGCCATCTTCCTGATACCTAGCAGAGTTTGTAGAGGAAAGTTGGAAACTTACAGGTCCCAGATTTCAGGGTGAGAATGCAGATGAGTGGGCCAGTGACCAGGTGCAGACAATTCAGAGGCCGCTTCCAGTTTTGATCTTCCCGGTCAGGGTCAACAATTGGTACTGTCAGCAAAAGGACCAATTCCACAGGAAGCTGTGGAGAGAAGAAGTTCTCAGCAGGTCACTCAAAATGGAGATCGTTCTGCATTGTTCTGCACTTCTGCAGAGGACTGTTTGAATTGAGGAGACACTTGGGGGCACTGCAGACACTCAGTTATGTCTGCAAGAATTCATAGGAAAGAGAGAGAAGAAGAGAAACAGTGTGTGTGTGTGGGGGGGTACATTGCTTTTTTCCTGCTCAAGAGCTGTGTTTGGCCTTGGAATGACATTCTAGGCCAACATTCAACTCAACAAAAGTCCTCTTAAAGATCTTTATCAGGGTCACTGACCAGCATTTTGTAATTTTTGTCAAAGGCTTGCCGAACTCAAATTGATATGCAAAACATTTTCTAGGCGATGGATAGAAATTAAAGGGTCAAACTAAAATGTACGATTAAATACATGAAGTAGAAGACCAAAAAAAAAAAGTCATATGCTTAGAGTTAATTCACTAGATTAGAAAACATCTTTGTGAATAAAAAACCAAGATGCTAAAATACTAAATGAATACTGTATATATTTAAACAGACTTGTTAGCAGAAATGGCACAACTGACCTGTTTGGTCAAGGATAAAATAGGAAGTACTTTTAGAAAAGGCTGGAAACCTTTTCTGGACATTTTGTTGAAAACAGAAAAAAGTGAAATGGTGATTTGTGGATTTGCTGATTGAAAAAGGGGTTGGATATGGGACAGAAGGAATTTCTGTAATGTAATCTGAATGAGGGAGGAGGCATAATAACTTTATTTATAACTGCTGCAAAGATCAGAAGTCGCTTCTTTAATTAACATATTCTTTTCTTTTCTTTCTTTAACTCAGTGTTGTCCAAACTTGGCCACTTTAAGATGAGTGGACTTCAACTCCCAGAA